CTCACTCTTCGCCTTTTTCGCCTCACATGATCAAAATGAAAAATATGAAAGAAAAGATGAAAGACAAATTTCTATGAATAGTGAATATAATGAACTCCATCTTCAAAATTGCAGATATTCAATTTACGATATGAATTCAATACGAATGAATAGCGTAAAGCTCGGCTCCAAAAATGTTCACCCAACTCTTTTTATCAAGGGCTCCAAAAATGTCTACCCAACTCTTTTTACCAACTTATGGCTAGAAAGACGAAGAGTGAACCTTACATATGTGGATCGTACGAGTCTCCCTATGAAGTGCAGAGCCATAAAAAACGCCTCCACATCAAGACGATCTATTGGAGAAAATTTGGCCATCAAAGAGCAAGCATAAATTGCCACTACATAATGAAAGATATTCGTTTCATAAGGTTTCCGAAGGGTGATACTAAATTTCAGGGCTCAATTATAGTTCGGATGGAGTGCGGAGGCGCGGGATAGGGTAGGCATCGTGGTACGGAGCATCGAAGGCATAAATGTTCAGAGGGAAACGGAGAGAAGAGAGACGGAGAAAAGAGAAGCTAACACGAAACGGAGAAAAATGGCTTAAAACCGAGAAATAGGACCCCCTCCTTGCCCGCTGATTTACGTATTGCTGCTATTCTCATTGATGCTGCCCTCTTAAACGCTAACGCTCTCTGCTAAGCGGCTAGTAACGAGACACGAGACGACGCGAGAGAAGGGCGTACTACGCTCATAGCGCCAATTGGGCCGCGAAGAAAGCCATGCTAGATCGCCGAGAGCATCTCTTTCGATGCGTGCTGGTCTGCATCCTGAGGAGGTCCGCCTGTCTCTTCACTAGGTTGGTTTTTTCTTCTTCGACCTTCTTCTCTAGTGGAATCTGGTGCTATACAAATGGGGTGGGCACGCCGCACTTTTCGAACAGAAATGATTTGAGTAGGACTGCTGCCCGCTACTATCTTTTTAGCACAAAAATTAGAACAGCCATAGCGCATCTGCCCATGCAAGAATAAGAAGCGTGTGCCTCAGAAGGAGTCAACCTGTAGGAAGGCCCTTAAAAGTATCCCTAAGGAGAGGGTCGAACCGGAGAAAATAAAAATTGTTACGCACCTCGGCGCCCCGCTTCTCCTCTGAGGCATGGTCCCACTGCGCGCATCCGTAACCCTGACTTAGTGTGCCATGTGCTGCACCCCCCCCCTCCCGGAGCCATATTGCGCTGAATAAGATTACTGTTGCTGACACGAACATTTGCACAATGCCCACCCCCTTCTCTTCTATAAGTACCTAGACTTGTGCCGAAACGGTCATCGTGCAATAATTGTTCAGTCTCAATATTGATTCTTAAGTGCGTGACATATTTACCCCGTCCATTATATGTATAATCCTCAATGATTAACTACAACCACGCATATAACTAAAAAACAGAATGATCAGAGTAGCTCCTTAGTCATCTTTAGAAACGATTACGTCAAATTCAGTATGACGAAAGTAAAAAAAAATGTATCGCAAATGGTAAGCACACTTACCCAAAACTGCTCTCCACAAAAAGCATCAAGGGCAGAAAATTCTTGACCAGAAGCACCCATTTTCATATCATCAAATAAGTAGAAATGACGTCGTCTAAGCTTATCCTGGACTAATCACCCTAGGTGAGGATGTGCTGACCCTTTTCGGAGGATAGCCTGAAACAGGGAGATTTACTCAAGAAAAGCATTGCAGAAAAAGCAGGAAACGTGAGGAAAATATGAGGGAGATGAAAAATGCAATGTTCTTGATGTACACAACGGCATGGGGAAGGGGCGATTGGAACACCGTCAGCGATCGAAAAAACATTGACTCTGCAGATCATAATTCTTCTTCGAAATCGATCTACAATTCAGTATGATCGGTCCACAAAAAATCATCGCGAAAGCAGGAAAATATTTTGAAATTATATTTCTTTTGAAAAGCCCAACACTGCAATGTTTAACGATTCCTACGTTTTCTCCGATAAAGATATCATAGTTCTGTTCTTTTTCAAGAGAATAGTTTGACAGTATTACTTCTAATCCAAACGCATCCTCAGTATACATGATGGGACATAAATAGAAGATAAAAGCATTTGCCGTTGATCAATACCTTTCTGGGAAACGGCACGCATTCTACTTCCATTTGTACATTCGCAGTGGCATTTGAATGCGATGTGGCCTATACAATGACTTGCGGAGACCAGCCGATGTACAAGTCAGTGTGTTCATCCTCCCAGACAAGTGTGGTATCAATTAACCGATCCCGGAGGATGGAAGGCTTGGTTGGCCTGGGCGACTTACAACTTAGGATTCGATCCCCGGACCGCTCGCGTGGTGAGCGTGCCACTTCGCACTACACCGCTTCCGCCCATATGGGACATAAATACGGTGGCTAAATAATAACATACACGAGATTGCACCACAACTACTAATTCATCACAGTTCTACTAGACGTTTGCTGAATGCTAGGAGTATTTTTATGGGCACAGTAACATTTAAATGTATCTGACTGAAATAACTAACGAATATGTGACGCTTCACAGCACGAGGTTGGGCCTTTACTCAACATGACCCAGAGAAGGATTTTGGAGTTATCGCATGTTTACTGGCGCTTTTTCAGTGTAACATGGGGAACTTCTCTACCCAAAGGCAAGGGTCGAGCTTAGCTTTTAATGAAGAACTCTCTTTCTTGAAAAGAGGTGCTTGGTTTACCGCTGCATGGTCGAGCCAATTCACGCCTTTGAAACGGGTCACTAAGACCATAGTCGCTTAGGACTTGGATCCTTGACATACATATATCTGGCGTAGTTGCCTTCCTATAATCCCTCGGCTTGAACTTTTTTTCCCTTTCTGCGACTCATATTTTTCCTATCTCACTGTTTGCTATTTAGACTCCGCAGCCTAAAGCAGAGCTTTTTTCTCGTGTTTTTGACTTCTTTTATTTTTCCTCCCCTTGCGATCGTATGGGTCTTTCTTCACTTTCGAGCTTCCCAACTCTAAGTCTCTCCTTCACCTAGCAGCCCACTGTTTCCTACAGTGTCCAGAGTTTTGAGATAACTGTCTCGGGGCCTCCCATACCTCAAAAAAAAGGGCATCAGAGAGATAGGCTGCCTCGTACTTCGCACTTTTCCAATTCTGCTGATTAAAAAATGTGCTTTTATTGAGCGTCAGAGGATTTGGAATGGCTCGTTCCTATCTAAATCCCTATCCTTTCTAGGAGAACCTCCAGACAGATGTATGACTTTCCCTACTCTTCAATAATAGGGTATAATGTTGGTAAAATGATACTTATTACTACTCCTGTTGCTTTTTTGTCAAATTTCAGTTTGGGAAATCGACACTTAGCGACGAACTAATCCGCCAGCCTACGTCGTAACTTCACTCCCATTCCTTCTTCACTTGGAATGCACTACTTCGCTAGCAATATGTATGTGCGCATGGAGCAGCATTACTTTGTATTAGACATGTTTTACCCTCAAGGAGATAGGCAAAAAACACTTCCCACTGCATTCAAATTTGAATTACACTTAGCTGAAGTCAGGGTGAAAATCAGTCAAGCACCTGCCGACGATTGTCGAGGATTTTCGCCTGTCCACGCTCTCCCGTACGGACATTCACTCTCGCCACACGCCACATGTCTGTGCTTTCCGCGCGTACATTCACTCTCGACACTATTCTCACACATATTCAGAGCCACGGATTTCCTCGACCATTATTCGGACCGAAGTCAACCCCAATAATTCCAATTGAAAACGAATTTGGTGGAAGACTTCATGATACCTTATTTAGAGTGGATATCCAATAGAATGGGTGTGTAGCAACAGAATCGTCCGGAGACCCGCTAGTGGTCGTGGCCGCGACGTCGCGGTGGCGGTGGACGAGTTTCCGTGATCGTCATTCGATTGTGAATGGTAAAGGAACGCCAAGCGTTCGTTTTATACCTAAGTAATTCTGGCTCGCACCTGAGTGAAGGGAAGCGACCATAATGAGAAGTGATGAGGTGTGAACCAGACCTAATTAAGTGCAAAAGGTGCCCTTTCGACGAGATTAATTTTAGGAATCATGTGAATGGGATCGATCATGAAGAATCATTGCTCCCATCGTCAAATTCGAATAAGGGCGAGCCCTCCGAAAAACTGCCTCGTTGCGACGCCGCGCAAATGGCCGCGCGCGACGGCGTCACTCCCGGACGATTCTGTTGCACGCTCCCCCAATAGAATAGAAGGTCATGCTTTTCTGTATGTAAAGTGTACCGGCCCTAGAGAGTATTATTCGCTTGCAGCTGTCATTCGTTGTCACTAACAAGGGAGGTCGTGCAGAACCACGGTTAATTTCTCCTCAACGGCTCTCTGAATACCAGAAAAGGGGGTCCCTAATCACACCTTCTTCACCAGATTTTCAATGAAAGTATTTGTAAGGGTTACTGACGGTCCTAATCATGAATATGGTACTAGTTATTCACGCTGACTCCATTTTGCGCGAATTCTGAAACGTCAACTCGGAATGCAAAAATTTGTCACCACGAAGAATCGAACTAGGGACCCCTTTCCTGGTATTCAGAGTACTGTTCAGGAAAAATGAACCATGCTTCTGTGGTCCCCATATGTGCCCCAATGTCATGCAGGAAACCATTTTGAGAAAGCTTGGCACACCCTGAACGACCTCCTTTGTAGGTGCTAGCTATTCACAGACCCCTGCAGTATGTGGTACTTTGTAAAAAAAGAATATAAGATATAAATTCTAATCGCAATAAAACGTTATAGATGATGGAAGCCTGCAATTCAGAGTATTAAGAAACCAAAACCGGGAGACAATGACTTTATTTGAAAAAAAAAGAGAAATTCATTCATCAACATGGGCACGTAATGAAGGATATTCTCTATTCTGATAACAATAAATTACTTTTCATCCTATTCCCTTGCGAAAACATAGAAAGACCATTAACACAACACTATGTAAGGGAGCTAAGAAAGTCCTAAACCCAGTTAACAATCACAGCTCTGAGTGCTCGTGGCCTTCTGATGCTTCCTTCTGGTGCTTTCGGTCATTTTTCAATACACCCCTGATCTCAGCATCGTAATCTCTCCACTCCGGAATGATGCGAATGGCGGAATCCAATTTGGGCTCCTTGGTCAGAGGATTGTTGCACTAAAGATATTTGAAGAAGGTTATGCATACTAGTATCTGTCAAAAATATTTGACTTACGAGATCAATTGTCTTCGCATTCTGCTTGCTAGCATCATCACACCACGTTTCACACCATAACCATTCTTGTGGTAGAGACTTGATTTTAACTTGATGTATCATATTATTGGGCAAATCCTGTAAAGAGAAAGATTATTTTATTCTCTAGGAAAACTATGGTACCTGATAGCACGACGTGACGAAAAGGCAAAGACGCAGACGGATCAGCGCACGAGTCGCAGCGCCTGCTGTATTGTGGGAGTATAATACATTTTCCATTTAAATCGGCGCAAAATGCTGCAATACGCAGTACGACTCCTCCGCTGACGCGTCTGTGTCTCTGCCTTTTCGCTGCGCGACGGGATACCCGGAAAATTACTATGTGAAGGATGGAAGCTCGAAGAAGCAATATGAAAAAAAGCGCTATTTGATGCGTTAAGACATTTTTGATGAGGACTGTCTGTTAAGCCCAAGGCTTTGGCCAACCTGATTTCTTTACCCCACTACGATTGTATGACAATATGTAGTGCCAATGAAACAAGATAATGACTTCTGTAACTGAACTGTGCAAAATGATAATTTTACGAGATAAGTTTCCTGAACACGCAAAATCTATTCAAGCATTTATCATTACTGACAGGATCCAAAAAAGCACATCCATCAAGGAGACCGTAGACCTAAGATGTAAACCAGGTACCTACTCGTTAGGATCACAAAACAAATGCAGGTTTGCTAATCTACACGGAAATAACTACTAAGTATATAAGAAAGATTTGTAGTCAGTGTCGGAAGGTGTACCAGATGAACATCTCATACGAAAGAGCGGCTTCAAACTACCACTGTTCCCTGGTAGTCCAACAACAGTAATGGCTTCAAACGGCAAGGGTTAGCAGCTTATCTGCTCACTAGCATGGGTACGCCGGTAGCTCTGTATGCCGTTATGCTTGTCTTGTCGGTCTTTTGCGAGCCATTCATCCGTCAGGAACAATAGGTGAGGTTTGTGGACGTAAACCCTAGGTGGCGAAGAAGTTCACTTACTCCGATGTAACGCAAATCTACCTCGGAGCAACCTTACAAACCTCCAACGCAGATTAAGGCGGCCGTTTACCCCAAACTTCGCTTGCGATGCTACCCCAAACATTTTATAGAAGTAAACAATCACAGGCGAGATTCATATAGCGAGGATTTCAAATACAACGTTGATCGAACTGATGTATTAGTGCACTGGTAAGTGGCTGTAAAGATGATGGAAGTGTAACGCTAGTAATGAAAAAATGGGAAGAAACCGTCGACAGGGACAAAAATAAAGCCCCTCTCCAGTAGCAGGGGAGCGAATGGCATTGTTTGATTTGAGGGCGGGGTTTATGGTGGTAGACGGAGCATATGGTGCACAATTCTTTTTGAAATTTCTACCATAAATCAACCTTGAACATTTAGAAAATTCAGTGCGCCTCAGACTAGGGAGGTTGCTCAGGACAAGGACCACTCGCTTCGAAACGGATTTGCAGGTGATAGGAGCCCTTGCATGAGACACAGAAATAAAATCCTTAGCGCCTCAGTCTTGCTGAATAAAGGTGCCAAATGGATACATACTCTGCATTTGCACATCACTTAATACCTCTCGTGCGAAAGATTCCATTCGTCCAGAGATCATGGACATTGCCTTTGGGGGAATTGCAAAATTTTATTCAACTTCAAGAGCATCCGAAAGCCATTCCATTCTCTCTTACCCAAGAAAAGGCAACAACAAAAAGGATGTGGCTGCTCCATTTATGTAATTTCAAAACCAATAAGAATTAAGAGTAATAAATGATGACTTACTTGATCAAGGTTAGACAAGCTATTAGGGTCGTTGCTGAGACCCTGGTATTGACCACGAAGTCGATCTCCGGCAGCAACTTGTCGGAATTTTTGTAAGTCGACCACATAAAGTGCACTGAAGTCAGCTGTATATTTTAAATTCCTGATGATGAAAAGCAAATTCTTGCTCACCTAATGTGATATCGCCTGCCGGCTAAATGGTTTGACCAGTATCCTTGTTTCCAGAAGCGGAAGCCGTCCATCTCCTTACGACTATCACAGAAAGGAACATACCTAAACACAATAATACCGATGCCATGATCATCACAGACAATATGTAACAGTCGGAATAATTTTAAAACGGAGAACCTTTCATCGAACATGATTTGATATGGCACTCACAAATTCACGCACTCTGGGAAATTACTCACCCGTATGGCGCACCGCCGAGGTCGAATTCCATTAATTCCATAAGGTCAGCACGGACAACCTGATCGGCATCCACGAAAATGATTTTTTGTACATCCAGAGGAAACAACACATCGAGGAAAAGAATCTGAATTAGTATTTTTCATTGTGACAGAAGAGCAGTAAGATGAACCTAAACTCACCTTGTACCCCCACATAACCCTGTGCTTCTCCTTTTGTTGGTGCAACCACCTTGGCCATTTGTATTCAACAAGTGCATAATCAAAGCCATACTCACGCGATAGCAATGGGAGGGACTCCTGAATAGAAACATAGGGGACTGTTTTGAAAAAGAAAATTATAAAACAACCTTGAATTGAGGCGAAAGATAGTTTTTCAAGAGCCAGAACTTGACCGGTTTCTCCGTCTTTTTGACCACAGAAACCATCATGATGTTCAGGAACCTTTCATACAACTGTCCGGATGCCAACGAGAAGACATTGATGACATCATACTTCTCTTTTGTGAAACTGGAAAAAAGTCAAAAATGTATTATTGCTCTCATTGGACAGTTCAAACTGGAAACCAAGCGTGAAGCCGGTGTTCGCTGGAAAAAACTGCCTCACATCTACAGGGTGCGCCATAAGTATGATAAAGAGTAATTATTTAGTAAAAAAAAAGCCATTAGAACTGAAACGCGACGAAACCCGCAAATTTCTACAATGCAACGCCCCGACGGAGCAGCTTCAAGGTGGTCGGTGATGTGGCTCCGATTGCACTTGCAGCTCATGAAGTTTGGATGCGCCGGCGGCTTCGCCCAGGACCTCACTCGGTCACTTATCCAGGAAGGCGGTTGTGTTGCCTTCCGAAAAGCAAGCTTCACTTTTTAGTACAGATTAGCAAATTTGACCCGAAACTGAGACTCAAACGAAAACATGTGTTCCTTCCCAAGCGCTACAGGTTACCGTAATTCGTGTAACTCCAGAAAAGTAGCGAATGGTACAGGGTCATAGTATCTTCGAACAGCAAACATGATGGATAAGCCAAGATAAGAAGCAGGTAACAAGGGTCACCTTGTAAGAAGGGACAAATTGCGATATTCGACTGAAAGGAAAGTCAAAGGGTTAGTGATAACGGAAACATATACCCCCTTCCCCTACAGGGTCGCTGCTGCATTTCGCTAAAAGTACGGTGCCAAAGTGAATGAAACGGGAAACCATGCTTATCGGTGAGCAGTACTTGTAATTAAAAAGGTTGTGAAAACCTCATGAAGATACCTCTTGCTTATTGAGTCCCATATACCGCCACCGTTCTCATTTTCATCAGACAGGAAACTACGCTGTTCCATTCCTTTTTTCTTTGTGACATAAATGCGAACGGTGCGACCAGAAAACGAATCTAAATTTGTACGTATTATGGTAACTAACTTACAAATAGAAAGTTCTGCTATTCCCATAGAATTGAGGAGAATGACATACCTATAACAACCCGGACTCCATTGCCCTCGTTGCCTTCCGTATTGCTGTGGGCGGAAATGTTGTAGAACTCGCTTGATTTGCCTTCACGAATTTGCAGCAGCCATGCTCCAGGATTTGCCTGAACAAAAAAAAATGAGGTAACGATCAAGGCCCCTTATCGAATAGCACGCCACCGCAAAGGTCGATCTGTACATTACATTTTATTCCAATACTTATTAGTCCTAGACACGCAGTGGAAGTTTTATATATTCAGGCTACGTTCAAAGGTATAAAAATTATATGAAGTCACTTTACTTTATGAAACTGCACTGATGTGCGAAACTTAAGGACGAGGTAGATGAACTAACATGAAAGATTGATAAATTCGTGAACCGCTTAACGAATTCTGCCAATTGCTTTCTGCACTGCTCTGTCGGCTCTTTCTGTGCATGGGTTGGGTTCCATAGAGTTACCTTACTCGCCTCTAACATGTCATGGAAAAGCTACGTTCATCCTCAGGTTTTGCACACCAGTGTCGTTTTGGGACAATTCGTAACGACTTTACAATCGGCTTTACTGTTTTTTCGCGGTCGATTTCAGGAAGCCGGAAAATTGGCTTCAGAACCAAACGACTGAGATCTTCCTATCAAATATATCCTGAAATCTTGCAAAGGCCCAACCCTTTACTTATAAGTTTGGGAGAAACGACTTGCAAAACTTGCACCATATTTTAATGTTTTTTCCTTTTTGTTCGTAAACTCGACCAATTACATATAAATCATCACTGTCTAACGCCCCTCGCCAAGCTCACATAATCTCTCAATGCTCCTCTCCGATACATGGCTGGCTGCGATTCAAAAATGCGAGCAACCCCATATTCCAATTCGAGTTGACCTTATAGTATTTTTCGCTACGAAGATAATGATCCAGCCTTTGGTTTTTTTTCGTTACGAGCACAATGATCGAAGATACAGAAAAGTTGTTTGCAGGTAACGTATAATCTGGGAGATACGCCATAAGGAGCGAGAGCTCTCGAGTAGCTCAAAAATTCTCTAAAAGGTCCACTCCGAGACATGCTCACGCGATGTCATGAAAGCCATGAACATTACCGTAGTTGGTGGATCTGGCTGGGAAAAGTAAAAGCAAGACCCGAGATTTCTGGTCGGAATTAAGCCTCCCGACAAAAATAAAGTTACAGCGGTAAGCACGTACGCAAATGTCGGGGTGATCTGACAAGGGCGAAGCGCTAAAGCCCAACGATGCAGTATTGGCCTTGCCCACCACTTCCATTGCTCACAAATCAATGCTATTCCGCTACACGCTACTGAATATGGAGAATTTATTCTCATCCTTGCTGGCAGTTCCTTCCCATTTTGATCACTGGCTTTGCAAGTCACATCTGTACTGTACTTATAAGCGCAATAACACATCAGTTTTATTCAGATTTGGTCTTCAAATAGCCTTGCTGCGTAGATTCCTAACGCCAAAATATCATAGTATCAATGTTGAGAAACCTTGAGTAAAGCTCCCCTGGCAGTGTACTACGAGTGAATGAAATTCCGAAATTGGGTTGATCTCTGAATGATATTTCTGCTTTGGAAGTAATTCCACAGGCGGGACACGCTACAACGCCAGAAGTTCCCTTTGAATTAGAGATAACGTAACCGCGATATGCATGGCCACACTTGCGAGTGATAAGCTCGGTGTCACCCTCAGCTAGCAGTGTGAAGACTGACTGACGACGAGTGACTGACTGTGACATGTTTGGGGAATTTGAGGATAATCTAATTAGGCAGTAACAACTTTCGATTGCTACCCATTCTGACGTGTTGCGTCTCACAAATTCGCGTCGCTTATGGTTAGACTACAGCATCCACAAAAGCCTTGCTCGTATTTTGCTTCCCCAGGTCCTCATATGGCTGCGGTCCGCTAAGACACAAAGCGACCTTTTCGCTTTACGCCGCCCAAAACATTTTCTGCCGGGAACCTCAGGTGCACCACTGTTTGGGAGTGGACCCGGGGTTCCGCTACAGAAAGCAGGGTAAGGTCAAAAGTATGAAATCACCTTCAACTGGAAATATCCCAGATTTGCCATAACAATTGTATCGAACTGAGTAGGCTCACGAGAAGTGCCAAGAACGAATTGTAAACCACGAGGAGGTGATCCCGAGACTTCATCGAAACAATGCCCCTCGAGAAGTATATACTCAAGTGAGAAACGAGCAATGATGTGAGAGGAGGCCTGAAATACGATTTTAGTGATAACTGGTTAGACTCAATAGCCTTCTGTGAAGAAGGTAACAAATGCTCACTTGCTCCATTTTAATGTTGTCAAGATCATATTCGGCAAAAACGTTTTCAACCATCCAAGCATCGGGTGAGTAAACCGAGAGGGTTAGTAGTTGCTTCGGTGGGAGATCGTTGAACCTTTAAAGTCGCTTGATGACAATCACTGGTGTTACAAGCAGGTTCAATAGAAGGATTGCCGCAGAATCTAAACTGGGTAACGATAACCGCGGATGCTTTCTCACCTCGCTTGATTCTCGATAATACGACCATTTTTGTCGAATTGTAGCTCAGGGCTTGCAACAAAACGATAGAACCTTAAAAAAGGAACTTGCGACACCATTTTCTTTTACCAAAGTATTGAAATTGGAAGAACCTCAAAAAAGGACAGACAAGTGAAGAAAAAATTTCCAAACTGGATACAGCTGCGCAAACCTCTTCAATGGTAGTTCACTAAGCTTGGCTTTAGGGTTCATCACAATCTTCATATCACAGTTGATACTTTTGCGTAACAATTGAAGAATAGCTGAGAGCTTTTGCGTGCTTCTTGACAACGGATCCACTACGGCCACAATATTCACTGCGGCGCGATCATGGTCATCAGCAACAAGTTTGACGACACTAAAGAAAAGGCAATTATTCGCATCGAAAAGAGCCAGCACAGAAAAAAATGACAAATTGAAAATAAGACCATCTCAAGAAACCTCTTCAACAGCTAAACTTAATTCACCTGCACTTTTCTTGAATTTTCCCCAAAAGATACAATGATTTCTATTCATTTCCCGCACGCAATCTTTCTATTGCTATGAACTTATCGTTCACCAAATTGGCTGACGCACAATTTCACGAAGATAACTCGCTGGAGTGAGATCCATTGAGCTGGCTAATGACAGGATAGTACCGTGAAGGCTTGACCTTCCCGCCCTTCTCTAACATCTTTCCAAAGTTTAAAAACTCGTTCATTTTTGACCTGACGAGTCCAATAACGAATGGAATTTTCGCAATCACATATGGATCTTGAATCGCTAGTAAGAGCAAGTATGAAAGTTTGTTGAACTGGCGACTAAAAATCTACAGAAAGAGACCTGAAAGGTTAGGACGGGACAGCAAAAAGAAATGAGTTTTATTGGAATGCTCGGTTGAGCCATAAGTAACATCCAAGTTTCCAGCCCTGTCAAAACATGTGTACGTTGAAATACCAGACACGATAAATGAAAAAGCCGGCGAAATTCACTCCAGAATCACTGACAGGCAAGCACACCTTGAAGGTCAAGCAAAACAACTGGAGCTCCAGATGCTGCTCCAAGTCGCCTCGTAGGCGAGCGCCGTGGACTTTCAGCACACAAGCAGCCTTTCCAGAATGGCTTGTTGCGCTCTCCAAGTTTGCGAAACATACGGCAGGCCGGGACAATGCCATTAACACGAGCTAGGAGAGATTACGTGTAGATCTTTGATATCCTTTTGCTGTCCCGAAATAACCATTTCGGCCACATCGACAAGGTGCCACGAATAGGAGAAGGGAATCGACTGGTAAGCCACGTAAGAGGTATTTCTGAACGGATGGTTCAGCAACCAGAGTGAGATCCGGAAGATAACCCTAACCCGAGGCAGCATCTGTTTTCCATTTGTTGGAGTGGCTCCCTACTACTACAAACCTCAAACGATGCACAAGCGCACACTCCTACTGTTTGCAGCAGCGTGAACTTCTTGCTATCTTGCAGTGATCCAGCATCCTGTGGATGAGATCGTTCCACTGTATAACAACAAATGTCCACACGCCTAGCAAGAGCCGGACGGCTACACAAAAGCTTGGTTTCATAGCTCTCTCCGTTCTCCTAGTTCAATTTCTAGAAAAGAATAGCCAAGATGATCCTTTACACCCGAAACGGCCTACGATCAATCTCTGCGTGGATACTGCACAACTGTTAATGAGGCATAATCCCTCAAATGCGAGTAGACGAAAGACACTTGTCGAAATAATTACAATATAAATACGAAATATTTGAACAAATTGGAAAATTACCATTTCCTGAATATTTGCATGGAAAGCAGACATTGCTTATGACTCAGTCTATGCGGTCAAAATTGCACTACCTGCAGTATTCAGTGTTGGCCTTAAGAAGACTACAATTGGATTTTGCACATACCTCACTATCAATAAAGTTGACATGCTCTAGTATAATACGTCATTTATCCAAGCTGTCTCTACGGTAAACTCTCTTGAGCGATACGCTTTTTTATCTCTCAACTCATATCAGTGGCTTGCAGTAACAAATATCTGCAGATCCGCGCGCATCTACTGTAGAAGTGCGTTGACTGGCAAGTTTCCCATCGTCAAAGAAAGGCTATTTCAATATTATATATGGAGCTGGACAGGCGAGTTCAACTAGGACTCGTCCTGAGTAAGAGCTTTTCACGCGCTGCCAATTAAACGCCCAACGTAAAGTTTTCCTACAAAGGAAGATAGTCGAAGTCTTAGGTCGCACAGAAAGAGTAAACCGCTAGTCATAATGGCAAACTAGATCGGCACTTTTTGTACAAAGAATTTAATAGGAAGCACACTGTTAACTGCACCTGTGTTTTTCTTGACCCAGTGTAATCCATGTTCGCTCTCTCCTGATAGCGTATTTTGAAATCAACGCGAAGCTTCGCATCACAAGATCCGAAGGCGAACCATGATCTCCACCAGCTTTCCATTCATCAATTTGGGATGCTATGACCTAAACTACTACGTCAAGGACAAAATTTCTGAAGCTAATCCAATAGTCAGATAGTACTCACATTAGCTCCTCGAGACTCAACAATACGAGCGATCAGTTCTACGTCGGATTCGATAATGATTTCTTCCTCTTCGAATGGTCCAACAATGATCCCATTAGCAATAAAAGCTCTTTTACCAGGTGCTAGCTTCAGGACATCCCGCACAAAACTGCAGATATTTCAATGAGATGAAATTCGATAGTTCTTCCAATACATAGCGTAATACTTACACGCTATCAATCTCCAACTGCTCACAAGGAAGGTTTTCCATTTGCTTCCGGAACTTGTCTACATCCATCCCTCCAACAGCGAGATCTTCCCACTTTGTGGCTCCACTGCGTATAGAATTCGCATACTCCTCCTCAAAGAACAAAAAAACTATAAGCAGAAACCCAAAGTAACACACGTAAACTCACACCTTTACTAGCTTTGTGATGAACTGTTTTGCTTGTACATGAGGAAGAAATTTGATTGCAGCTTGAACAAGCATAGAGATACTGTTTTTGGTACAGGAAGCGGCAGTGTCCGATGGATTCATGATTAATCCCATCTGAAAAGGAGGAACATGAAAACGCTTGATAAAAACATCACTCAAGTTGGCATCAAAATAAAACAAATTTAGTGCAAGTAACTATTGAATACACAAACATGAGAGCGTCCCTCTGTTAGCGAAGCGCAGCTAATTTCACTTTGCAACGATCCCCTCTTAGTAGTTCTAGGGCCGTAAGGTATGTACCCCGAATGGTTGGGGGACGAAAACTCTTTAATTTTTTTTTGTTCTGAACGACTTTCTTCATAGTCAGTGCATGTTTACTTTAAACTACAAACATATGTTATTATAAATGCAGGCCCTTTATCAGGACAATCCTAGTTGGGAAAACATTGAAAGTTTACCCATTTGACTACTGGTGGGACACATGTGTCCCACTTCGTAGTCAAAGACACTATCACAGTTCCAGGTAATATTGAGCAGGAGGGCTCATTTGATGGCTGAACTGTGCACATATAGGGCCGTATGCTATCCTTCCCCAAAGCTAGGTGACGCAAAGTTTCCTTTAAATTTATTTGCTTTGAACGATGTAGTTTCTTTATTTTCAATGCATGTTTACTTTAACCTACACACATACATTTAACGTAGGCCTTTGGTCACGGTAATCCCAGTTGCGATGACAGAGAAAACTTCAAGGAATTTTCGTCCCCTAACCCTTTCAGGGAGGACAGCATACGGCCCATAGAAGCTTTCTAATTCCTACTATGACAATTAGTCGTCAGAAGCTAAAGCGAGTCATCCTGCGTAAGTTAATCTTTGACTGCTGGTGGTACATATGTGTCCCACTTCGTAGTCAAAGACACTACCACAGATTTGGCACTTATTGAGATCGGAGGGCCCGCTTTATGGCGGAATTGTGCACAACTAGAAACTTGGTAATTCTCACTCTGTCAGCGAAGTATCGGAAGTCTAAGCGAGTTACGCTGGAAAAGTTGATAAGCAAGCCGTTCCACAGCTCACTGGGCAGTGGGCACAACTCCCGAAAATAGTTTTCGAGGCTCACACTCTTTGTATTGTGTTAGTGGTTCCAATATTTCCCTCAATTATTGTTCAACAGGTGAAATATAAGCAAACCGATGACGGATGGAGGTTTTTACCGGCCGCAAGCCAGTTAGAGGACGACGGCGTTTTACGACTGCGCTGGAAATTCCGACCTCCGGAGTTTTATCAGTTCGTTTGATTTAGAAGTGGTAGTAGAATACTACTATGATGACGCTGCTTTCGAGCATAAAAACCAGCGAAAATTCACTAGAGGAGAAGCAGCCGTTGGGCGCAGCCTGTAGGCAGGGGAGCAGCACTTCTAAATAGTGCGGCTTGTGATGCTTATCAAGTGCGTTCCCAACCGAGCATTGCCTTGTTCCACGAAGGCGATGTGATAAATGTTGAACGGTATTTGAACTGTTCAAAAATGCTCATTCGAGCGGAGATGGTGTGGCGACAGGAGGGGCTACTGCCGCGCGTATGGTCTCTGGATCGAATCACAGCCAAACCCAACGCGCATCAGCCAAATTTCTACAGATGATTAGTTGTTGCTAGGAGCGATTGTTACTATACAAAACACATAGATAACTTGTTTCTAAAAAAGTCGTAGTCTAAGGGTTAAAGGGATTTTCGTCCCTCAATCCTTTGGGGAAGCATACCTTACGGCCTCTGAATGTGGTGGGGCCGGTAGTTTTGTAATTCTACATCACAATGTCGAATGGGAATAAAGTGTGCGGCTCGTTCCAAAAAAGATCGGTTAACGACGAATGTCCTTCTCGTTCCAGTGTGATTTACCACACTACATTTACGGTTGAAAGCGCTGTTATGCAGGGTAAGCCAAAATTATGAGGACTGAGCAATAAGATCGGAGCCACTATAGATGGAAGATGCGGAGATTCGAAGGTTACACCACCAGGACAATTATCAGATGTAGGAACTCGCTTTTCTCTTGTCGACTTTTGCACCCTCAAGACGAAAAAATTGAAAAAAAAACCCAGCTGGACAGTCCAAGGCTCAACATCTGTCGCGGATAGACAGCCCCTTAAGTGCTCTATTTGGGAAATTTTGTAGGACAGAGCACTCAATCATAACCGAAAATTCTACAAAAAGCTATTCTTCGCCTTCATTAATTTCGAAGAATTGTCATTTAGGGATCGTCCACTACATTTTTCTAACTTCCTGTATTGTACAACCTGGAGGCAAGTGCACATGAAAACCCCAGAAAACTTTGACCCTTCAAAGAGGGCAAAGCACAAAGTGTGGAAACATTTTGACACTCAGTTGCGTGCCATCCCTCACCATTTAAGAGCTCGTGTAAACGCAGTAGGTGGCAGATCTCAACCCTAATCTGGTTTTACTTTGAGGTGGTAGTGACAAACACTCATATGAAGTTTATTTGTTCCATCAAGCCACAATGCGTTTTTGACGACATAATGTCTTGGTCCTCATTATATTGGTCCCCTGTACACTGAGGGAAAGTATTCAGATGGGGTTGACGTGATGGGGAGGTAAAGGAAAACACGAGCTGCATGACGACGTTGAACAAGGCTTCTGAGGAAAATAGCGACGTCTTTCAGGGACCCTAAACCGCAAAGTGAGCAAATTATTTTTGCAAAACCTACCCGTGTCTTCCGGTTATGCTTCAGGAATTTTATGGCATTATACACCATTTGGCGTCCATGTTCAGACTCAAGATCAGCAACTATCCATAATGTGAGGGGCTGTAAAAGAGAAATAAAGAAATACCGCTTTGAGATAACGCCTCTCATTATTACTACGAAAATTTTTACCATTGTGCTATCTTCGTCCGATTTCTTAACATATCTCATCTTTGTGGCTATGCACTGTATCTTTTCAGAATCCTTGAGCTTCACAAAGTCAGAAACCGAATTAACATTGCAGTCTGAAGTTTCTTTGTGAATAAAACTTCAGAAAATGCAGTACAGAGCAGGTCACGTACCAGAAACGTCAGTGAAATCAAGTATGTTCTTTTGAGCTGTGGCGTCAATAATGTGCTTGTTATAACGAGGAACGACATCCTTTTGTTCCATGATCCAATTCCCCACGTTCAATTGGTCGTGTAGTTCGCCTGATAACGACATCAGCAGGATCAGCAAGAACTACCAGCTAAACTTCAACGAGCAGATGCCTACCTCGTATTACAGCCTTCTGAAGCTCCTGAGTGATGCGCATTACCTCCAACATTAATGTTTCTTCGAATTTGTCACCAGTCACCTGAAACTTCAGTGAACGTTTCCAAATAAAAAAAAATTGCAATTCCATGTGGTCTCAACGACAACTCACACCAGCATCGTCGAGCACGAATCCGTTCAGCAAAACCTTTGGCGCGCTACCTATGCCAGTTTGTTCCAAAAACATTTTACCGGACTGGAAAAGCAGGATATGGAAATGAAAATAGGTAAGCATGCTGAGACTAAATCCTTACCGTTCTTCCTTTATCGTAAGGAGAATTTGGTCCAAACACTTCTTCGTAGTCATCACTTTCGTGATTTTTCTCGAACCACGCTTTCATATACTCAAGATCTACACTTTCTTGGGTACTATAAGGTTCGAGCATCTGAAAAACAAATTGTAAATGTGCTAAAAGGTTATTAGCTATGATGAAGTGTATGTGTCTCAAAGAAAGTAGATTCAACTTCCATCAGTGCAAGGAAAGACGCTGCGATTTCAACAAAACCCACTTTAGAACGGAGGTTTTTCACGGGTTACATTACATCACAAAAGGAGATCAGGTCATTGTAGTCTTGAAAATAAAAATCGACTGCTAAGACGGTAAAAAAAAACAGTGAAAGTGCGAAACGCCTGCTATAAAACTGATGATGAAACAACAAGGAAGGAGACACAATCGAGAATTTGGGTGCTGTTCTATGAAGAACTGAAATGCCAAAACACATCGTGAACACAGCGTGGTAACAGAACCTTTGCCGTACCAACGCTCAACACTCGCCCTTCCCCTTCCACTCTTGCTCTCACTCATACTTCACTTCTTAAGAGAAGAACAAGCCACACAGAGGAACATAAAACTAACGTCAACAACTGTTCGTAGAGCATCGTGATAAGTGTGATCGGCAGCGAGAAAATTCAACAAGTTCAGAATACCTATTCCGCTATCATCCATGCCGCTGACTGTTCCATTATCTTCGACAGCAAACAAAAATCCTATTCTGCAACGCAATGGTTTTATAATTGTCAAGGAAAAAGAAATGAACGCATTTTACCTTAAGGGCACATCGTGTTGAAACAATGAAAGAGCCATTTTCATGAGCTTCCGACTTTCTTTACCAGCAGGATCAACAACAAAAATCTGAAAAACCCTTATTCAAGGAACTCGATAATAACTTTTATCACAACTCAGAACTTTCATATTTCTAATCCCATATAAGCTTCGTCTATGGTTAATACCGGTCCCTGATTACGAATATGATCTCCGCTATTAGCGCTGAGACAATGAAAACCATCATTGCCTTGTGAGACCTTGTCAGTCAAAAAGTAAGCAGAAGCGTTGAGGGGTCTCTACCAAAAGCACGTTTCTTCAAGGCTTACATATTCTAAAAAATAGAATGAGCTCACCAGATTGAATAAATTTCGAGCTATCGGTCGAATCATGCCAGGGTAGTAAGGCTCAAGCAGCAACTTGACACTATTTCTCCAATGCTTGTAGCGCATGTCAGTGTCCAAATTATTAAGATACTAAATAGAGGAACAGTGATGCTCATTGCCTGACATGGAAAAAATTCAAATTCTCATATAGTAGAAACTCACAATGGGATTAGCATTTCTGTAGTCCACTGCATATTTGCTTTTATCTTCAGATAGATCAATATTAGTAAGAATTGGAAGATGCCCTTGCTGAAAAGACTGCTCGTATCTATATTTTGACATGCAAAGAAAAATACTACTCACCCGAAAACCCATATTGAAAAAACCAGCAGATACTCGCTGTTCTTGTCTAATAATATCAAAAAGCTGAAACAAGTCCAGACTCTCCATGTCAAGATTCATTCCATTCAGGAACAATGCCGACTCGCCAGGTTGGAGACCTATGACAATGCAGTTTATAAGTTTACTGTGATTAGGGGAAACATTCACGTACACAGGGTGCTTCTATTGCTCACGCCACCCCTAATTTTGCAGCCAGTTGATAATATTGATTAAAGCAAAGCATGAAACGTTTGGCGTTGATCAAACCTTTGGTGGAATGCGTCACACATTCTGCTGTCAATCAGAAACGTAGTGGCACTGAAGGCGGTTTGGTCTACATACTGACTTGTGGGGAAAACCGATGTACTATTATAATATTTTTACCCTTCCAAACAAGTTTGCTACCGAGTAGCCGACCACGGAAGGATGGAAGGCTGGCTGTTAAGTGTGCGTTGGTGACGTGTACCCGAAGCGTCTAGAAGTTGTAATTCATGCCAGAGGCAACAATTTCTGGTAGTCGTACGATGTTCGGTTGCTACGACGCAAGTTTAACATTTTCAGAGATTCACAGGGTTTAGGTTCGAACTGCACTTACTGTGGCAACAACTATTCTGTAGTAGCTATACTTTAGAGTAACTGATATTACCACATTAATGGAGTACCTTTTGGATCCGGGATCAAGATTCTGAAAGCACGCCGAGTGACGATCCATTACAAATGTATCTTGACCGAGGATAACCGGATCAGGATAACTGGGCAAGTTAAAGCGAGGGATTTCGATAAGAATGGGATGGATCTGCAGTGGAAGAGAAGATGCTGAATGATGCACAACCGGCGAAAAAAGCGATTTGGTTTCCGCCAATGGATGAGCCAGCAATCAAGTAAGGGTTTGCTTGCACGTGGTAACCCGATAGCCACCATCATGCCAACAATCACCATGCCTTGATTGATAACGCTTCCCCAGCAAGCTATAGGATACGATTGGTCAAAATGGATTACCTTCCCGACATGACTGAGTGCAGCTGCTGCTGGCAAGACACTCAAGACACTGGTAGGCGGGGCACAGGTGGAAGAGGAGCACAGAAAGAATAGACCAGACCACCGCGTTGCAACTAGCGCATCTTTAGCTGTGAGAAGCCGGACACGCCTCCTTCGGCCCCTAGCTCTGATAGATGTACTTCCTTGGTGCACACCCGCTTCATAATACTCCCTCATTCAAGAAAAGGACCTACGGGGCATAATCAATTGAAGCACACAGTGTAATTCGAAAAGAATGAGCTTAACATCAGTACCGGCATCTGAGAGATGGTCTTTCTGGTTCAGTTCAATTTCCCTGCGCACATCCTTAAGCACAATTTCGCGGGTTAGAGACCTTAAGAAAAATTGATGGTAAAGAAGACGTTTTGAAAGAAAAATTGATACCTGGCATAACGAGGGAAATCTTGCGACAGCTGTGTGAGTGTCTGAAGGGCATTCTCTCCCTCCTCGCTGATGATGCGCTGCGCAGCCTGAGTGAGTTCCGATAAACATCATGCCGACTTAAAGATAAGGTTCCATAACTCGTTCCAAAAAAATCAATAGGCTTGTATTCTAATTGATACAGAGAATTCACTTTTCTGATTTGTTCCTTTGACTACATTTTGAGTTTTGTTCTAGGAACAATAATTTTTTTTCTGTGGATTCCCATTGCAATTATTTAAAGTCCAATTCACAAAACAGAATTCTGCAAAAGGAGCGTGGCTTCTCTAACTAACGTTTATTCTAACCAAAAACCTATTTAGACGATGACAACAGCGTGCAAACTAGCTGCCCCACATTGCAAGCAGTGCGGGACGGCGTAGCCCACCAGATCAATCACGACTCTCCCACCTTTCCGAGGTAACGGCACGTGTCGCGATCAAATTGGTGTTATTTTTTTTAAATTGAACGGAAAGTGCGAAGAAAAACGTTAATGAAGAAAAATGCAAAAAGCAAGATGGTGAAAAAAAAAACACTAAAACTCCTCTTGATGTTTACCGTGGCACGACGAAGAGTCACAGCACGGCGAAGCGAGGAAAAATGCGAGCGAGCACATTGTACGCGAGAGGGCGCATGTTGCGATTGATAAGCGTGGCAGCGGTAAACCGAAGGCACTACCACCCCCTTGCTGCACAGTTTCCAGGCGCTACAATACCACCACCTGTGTGGTTAGTGGTCGAGAAGAGAATTCGTCTAAGGATCTAATCGTAACCCAAGCCTTTGAGGAAAGAAAAAACCAGAACTCCGTATCTTACGCTGCAATGGTTCTAAATTGCCTTAATCACGAAGGTGTCATCACCTTTAGGCGTCAGTACGATTTGCACCAACCTGACGCCAATTTAAAATGCGAACTGTCCACGGAAAACCTCACCACAATGCTTTCATTTTTTAATCCAAAGGATCCAAGGGGCTGCAATGAAGAAAACAAGTACCATAGTTCTCAGTTCCATGCACTTTTTCCTGTGATATACAAAAAAAAGTTTGAGAAAGCGTGTGACTCCTTGGTTATACACCCGCTCCTTCTACGTTCACGTGTGTTTTTACCCCCAACCATACGTCAATATTACTTCACCCACTGCCCTCAAGGTATTCAAAGATGGTGGAACGGCCATAAATGAATAAATGATAGCTTAGGATGCTCAAAAGAAAATAACAATAGCATGCGCTTTCCACATGTGAGCTTCCCTGAGGCGCAATGGGATTACCTGTCGTCTACCTGCACATATTTATATGTAAAAGACCCAATTGTTCTTCATGGAGAAGTAAACGTATGATATGAAGTGCATAGTGAGTAATTTTCATGCTGAACTAAGTGATGCAGCAAAAAGGAAAAGGGCGGATCCAGTAAGCTACGACACACTTTTGCAGACATACTTACAGAGTGAACCTGCAGCACCTTACCAAAACTTAACTGAGATAATAATGAAGGCATGAGTAAAGCGTCATCGATCGAATTTGTTCATTCGTTGCAATATATAAACAATGGCTCAAAGTGTTGCGTAACCTGTATCCATAACAATGCCTCGACTGAGCTGTGGGTTGTATTGTAGAGTATTGGGAGTACCCACAGATAGTCGTGCAATTGCTTTCGTGTTCGATCATATTGAACTTACACGTCATGGCGCTGATCGGATGTTATTAATCAATAACGCATACTACCCCTCACCTGGAAAGAGAGGTCCTGGAGTTGCCATTGTTTCAAAGGGCCCAAATCTTGCATTTCCTTCAAATGCATCTTAAATGATTCGAGGTGATCACTTGAGTCGGAATGAATTTTTCTAAAAAGTAGAAAATCGATCAAATGAATACTTTTTGCTTGAATCCTATACACTCTAGCGTATTCATGGTTAGTTTGAAAGTATGTCGCCTTCACTACAATGCCGACACCTAGTCCCTAGTGCATAGAGATTTGGTACTAGAACGTGAAGAGGTCGTCAAGGGACTAATAGTAGTAACACATTCTATCATTACTCCCAAGAGAAGGGAGATGATGCTGGTAATCCAGTAGTTCAAGGAGAAAAATCTGATGGTGGATAGAAGCTAGCAAGGAAGGAACATAAAATGTTAAGAGGTTGAGCGCGCATCGTAGAAAGCCGAGCTGAATCCGGGACTTATCGTAATTTTGAAATGCAACACATACGTCATTCTTTTTTTCACACTCTACTTTGAAGAAGAAAGACAGGGAGAGAGAGGTGGACGATTATTGAAACTCGGATATGTCGTGCAGAACCTACTTGAGCTGCTTGAAGTTGAAACCGTAAAAGTTCTCCTCATCGGGTTCCTCTTCATTCTTTTGTTCGCTAGTGTCGACAGCTTTGTACTCGGTGCTCTTGATGGCCAATTCCACTCCGTATCCCGACAGTGACACTTGACTCATATGAGTTCCCACGGCCTTCAAATACGGTAAGTAAGGTAGGAGAATGGGGTAACAACAACCACAACTCACCTTGTAGTGTCTCAGCACATATCGCATCTTTCCCGCCGACGCTAGTTCGACAGCTTTATTATGAAGTTGCAACCATTCCTGCGTGCCAATTTCCCCATATATTATTGCGACCGTTTCTGCTTCTCTTCCAAGATTGAACACATGATCAATGGAAAGTAGCTCCGGAGCATCCCTAGAATTGCCTTTTTATAAATTTTTCTTTTCCACAACAGTAATGCATCTCTGTCGTAGCTTACACACTTCGCCAGAGCGCAACAATGCACGGTTATAAGCAACAGCATAAAAACAACTGTCACAAATAAACTAATTAAATGAATATAAACACTAGCGATAAATTGTACCACTAATATGTGCTAGTTGCCTCATACGGGTATACTCCTCTCAAACTCGCTATGGACACTATTAACATTTTCTCGATCTATTCAAAAGAATAAAATCGGAGATGGAGCAAGAACATTGAACAAGAAAATAATTTTGAAATAGAGGGGATGATTTTAATGAGCCATATCGATACACATGATTTCAGACGGTGACCTGGATTGTTTCAAATATGTGCAGCAATACTTTCAACAGAGCTTGGCGTTCTTCCCCTTGCTTTCTTGCGGGTGCTATCGCCAATAAGCGTTCTTATGATTTTTCTGATATTCCTTTTAGGTTTAGACAAGATATTGAGAGTGTTTACGACACTTTCGTCAACGCTTGCATACAATCGCGAACAGTTCCTAGCAATCATTAGCACTGTCTACCCAGGGTGTGGTTGACTAGGACAGAAAGCGGCTGTTTCGTGCTCCGCAGCGCTGCGGGAACCTCAGGTCCATCGCTGCTCATCAGTGGACCCGAGATTCCCGCAACAAACAATTTTTCGCGCTGCGAAACATGAAAAAGTCACTTTCTGTCCCAGTGAACCACACCCGTCTTCCCATGACTAGTGCTGTGAGCGTGCCCGGCGTTTCGCACAGAACGAAAATGATATTCGTGCTCAGGAGAGTCCTGCTGGGAGTTCTCCGCCAGAAGCAAGTTCTAGCCTAACCTGAAACGATAGCCTCATCCTGTGAATAAAGCAGACCTATCAAGAAAGACCGCGAGGATCTGTTCTTTACAAAAGCCAAGAAGTCTTCCAGGGTAAAGCAAGCAAGAAAACCACAGTTTTTTTTTCGTTTCAGAAACAATGAAATTGATTCATCCCGAGATTTGGCTCTTGGTTAAATGAGTGGGTGATTGCCTCAATACTTCGAAATGGGCCGAAGTACCGAATTTCCAAAAAAAAAACTGCCCCTGAGTGTGACATATCTAGCGGTATATTCCCTAGTACTAACGGCTTCACCGATTTGAGGTCCTTCCTTTGTAAATTTACATAATAGGTCCGTGCCGCCACGCTGTTGAACAGCCAAATAATTAATTACCCGTCTTTTTCGATGTTTCAAAACAGTACCTTTCGTGAGCCGATTTCAAGGCATTTTCCAGTTCGTCGGTGTTACATCCCTTTACGCCATGAACATCGAAAAATGCAGCACATGGCAGTGCGTGTTCCGAGCCAATCTAAAATCTGCAAATATAGTGGATTCAAAGAAATGATAAAAATTATTACGGATGACTACCGAGAACAGACCTGCTGGAATGACTGCACTGTGGGGGAGTACATTCGCAAGGACAACGAAAGCTTCAAGAGATCTATGGAAGACGGCGATAATATCTTCATAGCTTGCTGTAGCCCAATTTCGTACTTCACCTCGTCGCTCACTTAACCAATTAAATAAAGAGAAACCAGAAACTTTGTTAGAATAATCGTCTCAAAACATTACACATAATTATCACAAGAATGCTGAGTTGTGGGCAAATTTTCGCCTAAGCCGGAATTCGTACCCGGATCTCTTGCTTTCCAGGCAATTGCGCTACCAGTCACACCACAGGGGCACCATTTCACCACAACTCAGCTTCGATGGCAAGTTACCATAGCTTACCAGCATTCACACGTTCAACGTGATGGACCGGTTAGCCAAGTTTTGCCCACAACTCAGCATTCTTGTGATGACTTTCGAATTGCGGCGTAAAGCAGCTGTTATCCAATAAAAACAAGTCAAAAATGATAACATCTAATTAAGCTTCCAGCCTTGCGGTTCACTGCCGATATCTGCTAACCGGTCCATCACGTTGTACGTGTGAATGCTGATAAGCTATTTAACTTTGCCATCGAAGCTGTGTTGGGAAATGGCGCTCCGGTGGTTTAACAGGTAGCACAATTGCCCGTAAAGCAAGAAACCCGGGTACCGATCCCTGCCGAAGCGAAAGTTTTTTTCACAACTAGCATTCATGTGATAACTTTCGTAGTGCGAACTGCGGCGTTATCCAATAAAAACAAGTCAAAAATTACACATAAATATAAAATTAGTACCCTGATTTCAAGCTACTGAAAACTATCACTATCAACCTAAGATGTAGGACAGCAGCATGCATAACTTCCTTCACAAATTGCGAAAATTTTGATTTTTTTGCTCTAGAGAGACCACCATGAAAGAGCAGGACATTGGTCTCACATGGCTTGTGTTTCAGCAACACGTCAGATGAGGAACCGATACGGTTTCATAGTACCAATTTCGCCGCTTCAATACCAAGATGACCTATCTCCCCTGTCCGTGATCTATAGACTGAAGCGGTCACCGAGGTTCGACTAATTAAAGTAGTTCTGCTCATATAAGGGCTTTCCCTAATGTTGCTTCACGACCACAGCTTCATCATTCTCAAAGGAGGACGTTATTAACGTGAAAGGAAGGGTTTGAGGTAAGGGGGCCACAAAACCTCGTCCAAAATTCCGGACGAGGCTCTCGAAAATATTATTCGAACTGCAATTGGAAGAAATGGAAAACAAGGTCGACGGCTAACCTAATCTCTGCTTTACCGCCTTTGTCCTGTTTACAACACCGATCAGCAAGCGAGCAAAAGGAATGCGTATGTGAATTCCACTATGTGTGGAAAAAGTTACTAAGGTTCCAGCTGGACCTAACGACGCAAAGCAACTTATGTTCTTTTCGAATGTTTGTGTAAGGGGATAACCTCACATAAACCGCTTGATTACTACCATGAAAACCAGCTCTCACGCAGATACAGATCATATTTGATTTTATTGTGCCAATCTGTGATATAAAATTTGTTGTAAAATGAAAGAAATAGAAGAAAAAAATGAGGTACGATACCTTCATTACAGTTCAGAGTAGAACATTTCTTGGCAGTTTCGGTTATAAACCTCCAAAATTGTTGCTCGTTCTCCTTTGACATGAACTCGCTGCAAAAACATTGTAGGAAACACGAATTATAACTATCAAACGATGCATTCGACGCAAATAACCGTTTTCACCACAGATCACGCCTTGTTGTGAAACTGCTTACACATGAAGAGAGCAATCTTTGTTCTGTCTGGCGTTTCTCCCCTCTGAGTTTAGTCTTAGTGTCATCTACCTGCGGTTTTTTAATGCCCTGTTTTGAATGTCCCCCTATGGACATGAGTGCCTATGCCTTTGCTTAGGACATCTTTAGAAAAGAAATGTGTTTCAAGAGCATTCTTCTGCCCATCTCCGGGTTAAGATTCAGCGCACCGTCCATGGTCGCTGCAAATTCGTAATGAGAAATGAAAGGTGGACCGTGATCTACGCGGTGGACGTTTTAGAGGCAAGCGCTCATGCCCTTAGGGGGGCATCTGGACTAAGCTCAGAAGATGGGGGAAATGTCAGGGAGAGCAAAGGTTGCTCACATCTTCTGAATTCCTTCCCGCCCTAACGCTCAGTTCTAAGTTCTGTTAGTGGCTCACCCACTGCCTGCAATGTCCCGGTTTACGGACTGCACAGACGATCAGAGATCGGGTAAATGCCCTAGAACTAAGCCTTGGAGAGAAGAGGGATCCGTGAGGGAGCGCAGAGGCAGTTTAAAGGGCTAAGTTCAAGTATTCCGTCGACCGCAATGTCCCCCTTACGACATGAGCAGCTGAAGGCATATAGTAGTTGGTGTTCATGGTCTTGGGGGAGGGGAAGGGACATTCGAAACAGGGATTCAAAACCCGCGAGAAGATTAAACTAGCAGGCCCAGAAGAGGGAAAGCCAAGGAGAACAGAAATTGTGTACATCTCCCCCAGAATCAACTGCTTGTCCCTCCTAACGATACCCTTTACTTGTGAGAACGGAATAATGTGAAGAAAATAAGACAAACATACCTTATCTCAGCTAGGAGTGAAGTTGAATTCCATTTCGAGTTCAGCGTTGCAATAACCGATTTCGATGAAGAATCAGCTGCCAAAGCAGCACCGCATATTAGAAGAAGACCCCAAAACGGCCTTCGCAGCATACCTTAATTGTGATGTATTTTGACTCCTGAACGACATATTAAGTACATCCACATGTACTCGATATTACTTTACAACACCTTTATTTTTGCTTAGTGTACATTTCTGATGATTTTCAACAGTTTCCAATTTCAATAAAACACGTATGCGATACGATCTAAAACACGTCCCTCCATTTCAAACAAAACAAAGTGATTTGCTTTGTAACAGCGAATATCTGGTTAAGCGGTGGATAGATGAAAGACAATGAGTAACTTTTTGCAAAACTATTATGTAAAGTAAAACTCGTAAAAGAACCGAGTAATGGACGTTTTGACATTAACAGTGAAAAATTACACATTAAAACAGTAAAGTGAGTTAAAGCTGACGAGCCTCTGGCAATCGCGCGCGGTCTCCGCATTAGAGCACGCTACCTTCAGCAATTTGGGTACCAGCACATAAGGACAACATCCAAATATTGCATTAGATTTCTAGGCAGAGATAGCTCCCTTTCATGCACACATTTATCACACTTGTTTGACAAGAAACGTGTGATGTGCGCCGAGGGGCCCGCGTACCTAAACAGCTTTCCTCGCTTGCCAGAACCATGAGCTCGTCGAGTGCAAACCACACAACACAAGTGACAACGCCGTCTAAGTAACTCTGAGAACTAGAGGTTCACAGTGATAACTGATAGTTTTCAAATGATAGCTAGAATACAACAGCAACTGGCTAATCATTTCGTTGACAGAGACCACTACAATTTGTTGAGGACGTCGTCCTTGTGGTGTGTGGTCTGCACTGATGCGCACCAGCTTTTCGGAAAGAAAGGACAGATAACCGGATCCGTCAAAGAACTTGTAACCAGGGGTAGCCTGGTTGTAATAGCGAATGAAACAATCTTTTTGCATGTCGTAAATCTCTTGTAGTCCTAATTCGTACCCCATCTAGGGTTTAATCTTGGACATACTAGGCAGTGGGTTCTTCGGAAAAATAGGTCGTATTCGCCTATTTTTGACGAGCGGAACGCAAGAACTCTACCTTATGAACTCTACCTTTCGTGACAATGACACTGATGATGAAGATGAGCAGTTCGAATCAAGGAAATCAAATTCGAGCGATGTAATCACTAAAATGCATTGTAAGAAGGAACTGGATTTTTTTGATTGATAAAAAAGATTAGACAGGGGTCAGACTCTACAGAAGCTGCCATTGCTGCGATTCGCGCAAATCGCAGCTCCCATCGCGAGCTCTGACATTTCTCTTATGTAGATGGTGCAACTTATGAAAGACTATGAGGAGAGGTCAGGGGCAAGTCACGCTGCAGATTTAGAGCCACTCGTCCAGCGGATCACGGAAGAGGAGGTCCTTGAGTTGGGGCGGATTTCTAATCAATGGTGCGAGAGGAGGGGGGGGGGGGGAAACTGCAGAAAGCCTAACTGTGTGAATAGAATTCCCTACGCTTTACGGGTTCGACAGCTCGGCTCGTCAGCCCTTTTCATGGCGGTGCTTGCGCATTGCTACGTGAATACGGTGTAGCCGGGAAATCACAGCCAAAAAGTGCGGAGCGGAGACTGCTCAACTGCTTGTAGCTCCTCCCCTTCTCTATCTCCTGGTGGCATAGACTAGGTAATCCTGAAAGAATAGAAGGGGACATCATCCTGTGCAAGATTTAGTTTGGGATTTAAACCGCGGAGCACTCGATGCTGCCTCCATCTCAAAGCTAGCATTTATTGCCATAAAGCCGGATCTACGGAGGGAAAGGGAGGGGGTCGCATGGGACTCCGCTAAGGGGAGGGGGTCGTAAAGACGCGTTCATTTCCCCGACACGATTTTCATCCGCTTTCGAGTCGCGGCTTTACTACCACCCCAGTGTTTAGAGGTCATGCTACCCCATGCGAGAAGAGAATTCATTTTCAAGTGCCAATTTTCTGGAAACGACCTATTGAACATTTAAAGGCACGCCACCAAGTGAGACCACTAGAGTAATCTCTTCAATAGGTAATATAGAAATGTTTGCAACGTCACTGTGAGCTTTTGACAACGCTCGAAAGAGCGCGACGAGGGCGCTGGAGTCTTACCAATGCGCCCAACTACCAGTTATGGCCGATGTCAGACTTTGCGAATCGCGCGATTCGGTAGCGTCTGCGGTCGCGTCGCAGCAAGGAAACACTCAATTGGCTGGTACCGCAACGCGACCGCGGACGCTAGCGAACTGCGCGAATCGCTAGTAGCGAATCGCGCGATCGCAAAGTCTGACATCGGCCTATAGCCGATAGTTGTTTGGAGACGACCGCAAGTGCTATTGTATCATGATGAAGATTGCAATACATATATTTCTTCTACGCAGTAGCGCTGAGAAATACCTGACGAAAGGATTTTTATGCTCT